TCCAGAAGCAAACAAAGTTCCTCCTTGGGAGTAGGACACCAAAGTGCATATCAATAAGCGACTCAGTCTGGTGCGCTTATAAAGGCTGTTCGGGTGCTTAGGCATGCGAAGCTTACATAGCAGCGAAATCATTGCGTTAAACTGGTCCGCGAGCACAAATAAACACCAATAGGACTTAGCGAAGAAATTCAGTACTAATCCTAGGCTTTACCGCAGTCACGTCAACAATCTGTGCATAGTGCAGCGCGGAATCCCAGATCTACGTGCAGTAGATAGTCTGGCGCTCACTGCACAAGATGCGGTCATTGTGCTTCAGCAACAGTTTATCCCCACTTTCCAAAGTGGACCGCCACCCCACTCGTTCATGACACAGCTCAGTTCGTCTCCGGGGTTAAGCCATGTGTCCTCCACTGTTGCAAATGTGATAAAATGACTGTTGTCCTTGCGTGTGCATTGCTTCCTTGGTGTGAAAGACACAAGACCGAAATCATTAAGATCAGCTGCTATGATTTTCCCCATGCCGTTAGCTCGGTTCTTTCGAAGAAGCTTTGAGGAAATGTAGCTTCTTATAATATGGTAACGGGGAATAGTCACTGCTTTTTACAAGAGGGGAAATCGTACGGAGCCATCGAACTACAGTCCAGTCACTCTCCACCAGGTGTTATCAAAAGTTATGGAATATATAATCTCAGAGGCACTCATGGGATACTTTGAGAGTAACCACATTATAGTCTCACAGAAGCATGAATTCCGCCGAAATCGATCCTGAGCCACAAACTTGGTGCCACTCCAAGCAAGATGGACATAATCAATAGGTCCCTAAGTGAGAGCTTACATCACCCACCTGGACTTATTTAAAGCGTTCGATTGCCCGAACCATCGCATTCTTCATAAATTTGGAAGCTATGTAATATGTGACAATTGCTAGATTGACTAAGCAACTTCATCATTGAACGTCATTTGAAGGTGTGTGTCCGCAGATCGATCCAACTGAAGCCCAGTGTGGTATGCCCCAAGGATCGGTACTGCGATCAGCTGTATTCCTAGCATTCATCAACCATCTTGATAATGAGCTCCACTCGAACTTCCTACAACTCGCAGGCGATATCAATAGCTGGCATTACATCAAGTAAGTGGACGACCATGCGGCACTGCAGAGTGATCTCAGTAGAATTTATACCTGCTCATTCAAAAATCGGCTCCAGATTTACTTTGCGAAAGGCAAAGTTCTAGAGATACGTCATCAGTGAACTGAATATCGACTGGAAGAGCAACGGCTGCAACATGCTACGTAGGATGGGAACCTCGGGGTAATCGGGCAAGAAGACCTTGACTGTCCGAAAAAGGTCTAAAAGGCATCGGGTAGAACCAGTTTGTACCTTAGTTTCTTACAAAGAGCTTTCGGGAAGTTTCAACCATCAATATTTCTACAAATATTGGACACCTACGTAAGGTCCCATGTGGAGTATGCGATCAAAGCCTGCCAAGCTTGGCCAAAGCCGATGCTGCTGCGCTCGAAGCTGTACAACGTGAGGGGACGATAATCGCTAGATGACTGTTTCACCTCACTTGTGAACGCAGACTGCAAGTCCTAGGTTTGTACCGGTATATATCAGCCAGGAAACCATATTTTGGTGTACCAAATACTGACTAACCCCCATCAAGCCCGTCGCGATCTGTTGCAAGTCAACCACAATACCAGAGAGACCACTAGCTTATACTGCCTACACAGCCCAGTAAACTTCAGGCCCAGCAAAATTTTTTCTCTCTTTGGTTGTCTGGAACCTGGAACGCTCTTCCTTCCTAAGCCATCTTCGTCTCCATAGTAACGCTTTTTAAAGAACGCTTGGACTATATCCCATTCACATAAGGCGACATAGTCCGTTTCCATCGAAGGACGAAGTAACACAAGCTGTGGGCTCACCAGCCTTCTGGGTTGAGTAGCGGAGAGCAACCAGCATATGTTCATGCGAATAACCAGGTGAGTCACAATAAAGTAGAATTTTCCATACTCACCTCTCCTTTAAACCATGCTTTTGTAATCTCTACTCTCGTCATCCTATGGAACTTATCAAACAGTCGCACTTTGCATGTTCTGCATCATTGTTGATTGTTTCATCTAGTGATTGGTGTTGACAAACATCCAGATAAAACTGTGCAAATGAGATAAAGTGTGTCGGACGCTATCTTCTACTCTATTTTCGCACAAAAACTGATGGACGGAACTGATAGACAGAAATACTTTGAATAACATAGGCATCGGAACGTCTCTAAATCAGGATGAATGCTTTAATGATCCGCCAGTTAACTTACTGTTTCCCAAAAGCACGAGAAAATCATTGAGGTAAGGTACATCCAGTGGGAAAGAACACAGGCACCAACAAAGCAAAGGATCAACTCGCGAAGGACAGACGAAATCTTAGCCGAGGGAAGTAGAATTACGGTCATCTGGCTTTTGCAAATTTTTCCGATAAATCGTCTTTAGGGGACATACCTTAGTAATTCACTGATGTAGAAGTATGTAATCCATCGTCGCCAATATGGAGCTTGGGACACTGGAAGGAGCTGCTCGTGTCTGGTTCCTCTGTGTAACGAAAGAAGCCAACCGTGACCGATGCATTAAGAGACTGATTACGAGCTGTAAATCAAACGTTGAGATCGTTTGTAGATCCTATAAACTGAATGAGCAATCGATGATTCGATGTTTGACACCCAAGACTGTCGTCAGCATACTTTAGTAGAGTCGCTTCTACCTAGACCAGTATTGAGCCGACGTGAATAGAAAAGAGAAAAAACGACAAAATTGCCCCTCTGAAGAGAGCAGATTCGGTGATTGGTAAGGAGGATCATCTGACACCCGATTCGGTTAATCCCAGTGCGTTCCGTAAACTAATTGCTCCACAAATGGCCGATAAGGGTATGTATTTCTTAAATAAGTAGATCTTACAACAACAATTCGTGGGGTCACTCGAGTTTGCGGCAGTATCGTTTCAAGAATAATTTTCTCCAGAACATTCAAAGCATCATGAGTATAAACGATAGGTTGATATTTTCTGGGTCTCTTTCTTGACCCTGGTGTCGTACCGGCACTTCTCCAGTAGTCAGCGATTTTGTGTTGCTGCATACACATCGAGTAGGCGGATCCAAGAGGTATTGCCAAAAAGCCATCGCATTTTTTCAGTATGATGGGAAATGCAAACCACTAGGTTTAACACTATGCAGTCGCTTCATTAAACTGTTCACAGTTGCACTGTCGTTAAGACGCAATGAGTCTACGGACCCTTGAGATTGGGGAAAGAAGAGTATGAGGCTTTATTAGTGTCGCAATTACGGAAAGCCTGATGCAATTTTTCTATATGCACAGCAAAATAGGGCACAGGTTGCTCGCCCCCGCTAAACTGTTTCAACAGCAGAGTTCGCAACAGCTACCGTCCCCAATTATAGATCGAATATACACTTGATTAATTCGGCGTAGCTCTTCTTTTATATGAACTGTGAGACCTAACTGAGGTGCCGTCTATTTTCTTACTTGCTCTCTCCTTAAGTCGGCGCAGCCGCTTCAGTTGGGGGGAGAGCAGAACCTGCCATCGTGGACGTAGAGAGCTTTCCAAGGATATCAGATGTCAAAACAAAAAGTTAGTTAGCTTGTCAGATTGTCCCGATACTTGGATACTTCAGGGTTGACGAATAAAATAAATGCTGTGGATGCAACCATTTTATGAGGTCGATCGATATTTTTTGTAGTACCGACTCTACCTGAAACGTCGATCACTGAAGCGTGTGATAATTTGTAGTTAATCTTACTATAGATGACAGGTCATATATTGATTGTTACGTGATCAGAACTGCCAATCGGAGCCCGATTGAGTACAGCGGACCACTTCACATTATTAACGAACACTAGGTCCGGTGTCCCGTCTAATTTGGTGGGCAAAGTTACCATTCTCCGTAACCCGACGGTGGTGAGAAAAGCAGTATCAAATCTTTTGAAATCTTCGGTGAAGATACTTAGGGAACAGATGTTGTAAATTCGTCACAACATGTCTCGGTTTCTAATTTGGACAGATGAGATATATAGATGTTAGCCAACAATACTGAACAGTCGCCACCCAAACAGCTCGGCTTGCATCCTGGGACCAAATAGTTTATGCGCTGTGAACATTAACAAAATATGCATTTTGTTAAGATAAACAGATGGACTAGCGCAAATAAAGCGTACGGCACCTGTTTCGGTACGTGCTTGGGCGAACAAACCAAAGATAAGTATATCCTTTTACGGATAAGATGACAACATCCACTTCTTAGAGCCAGGTTTCCAGTAACATAATGATGTTTAGCTGCGAAAATTCCGTGGAAATGACGGTGAACGATAGTGCATCTAAATTTCTGTGAGCAAAAGAACGTTGACCCTAAGCAATACTGGCACGCTTAGGTCTCCAAATGTTTTCTTTTGTACAGCGACACTTAATCCAGCGCGACATTTTCGAACAAAATTATTACGCTTCTTTTGAATTCTTTTGAATTTGTTTCTAAAAACACGGCCGTTGGAAAATGCACAATTAACAGGCTTGGAAATGCATGATGATTTCTAATTATTGATAGTAATACTCGCAAATATAGTATCAATTGCAGTACGTATCCACTGAGCACATTTATCAATCGCATTTATACAGCATCAACCGTCAAAGCGTAACCGGACCAGAGGACTGACATTAATTAAAGACTAAGTGAACTTAGCAACCTTCCTCTAGATAGGTGTAGTGATTACTAAACGCTGTCTGAGTAACCTCCAAAACCCTCGAGCTTTTCAGAATGAAACTTCTGTAATTGCGCTGGCGTCCAACAACATAGTCCATGTCTATCTTCTGGGTAAACGACGCAACCAGAATAACTGACGATCACACAGTAGCTACCCACGATTAACTTGTGTGATAACTTGACATCTTGATGATAGAATAATGCCTGTTACATCCCGACATGTTATGTGTTAAACAACTTACCCAAGTATGTAAAGTAGCAACCGTGTTGTCGTCCATAATGTTACCGTCGATTCAATCGAACACTCGTCACGAATAAGGCAGTCGGAGCAACTCCTGACCAATCATCGCGTTGCTAGCATTGCATGCGAGATAAGAGCCAACTCTCCACAGGCGATCGATAAGAGTCGCCTTTGCGATACACGCACACGAACGGCAGGACCAGGTACGATGAACAAAAATTGCAGGCCTAACTATGGTGACAACGCACGAACCTGATTACTCGAACAAGTGTGCCTTTCAGGCGCGCCACTTGACTTTTTTGAGGTTGAAATGTAAGTAATCGGACAAGGAGAAATGTGGTTCAACGTTGATTGACTGCAGGGGTCATTTTGAAGCACTTGTATGATTGGAATGAGATGCCCATTATCAGCGTAGACCGCGATACAAAGTAAAAGGAATATTGGTCAAATCGTTCATTGCTTATTGCACTTTGTCACTTGAGACCCCGTTTATACCTCACTCCAAATTGGCTAAGTTGGTTGACTGCCTGTTACAGCACGGTCTTAGCTAAATGCTTAATGGCAGTGCAAATCAGGTCATTGAAATGTGAGAAGGAAACTAGGTCACGGATGATCCACCAAGCGAGTCTTGGGCGACTAGTTCTTGTGGGTTGACTAAGGATATTCGAAATAAATCGCTGTCTCTTGTAGAATGAAATTTTGGGACTCCCTACTTAATCGATCCATAGACTTCGCTTATCGCAAAGTGGTCACCGCTCCCTTCTGCGATCGTCCAGTGAACAGACTTGACAAGGTGCAAATCATAGGTTTTGTGGGTCATTTTGAAGTACACCTTGTATGGATGGATTGCAACACACAATCTCAATTTTGACCACGCTTCACATTGAAGCGAACTTTGCGCTTTAAATCACGAGAACCGTAGCTGAAGCAGATAGAAATTGGGTAATGCCCACCGGAAAACACTGCACACCCAAGATGGGTTTCAAGGTTATTTCATCTCACCAGAATGAGTGAGCATACATCGAACCCGGGACCATGGGGATGTTACTTGTGACGGTTACCACGATGTACAACGCTTGCACAACGGTTAACGATAGATTTTGTGGGTCATTTTGAACTACACGTTGTGGCAAGATGCAAGATCTTCAAAACGCGTCATATTAGTGCAGTGTTTTCGGGCGGACAGAACCCAACTTCTATCGGCACAAACATACTTTTCCAACTCTCCCGCTTGCTTGCAATCTCAGAACGCTCTCGAGACTGAATCAAAACTGACCACCCGAAGGACTGAAACGAGTTTGAACTGATCCAGCATAACGAGACACATTGCGTGACCGTGAGAGGGAGTGTGTATTCAGCAGAGAGTACACCGTCTTGTTGGAAAGAGCCAATTGACTATCCTGCGGAACTTCTGATGGTTGATTTGTTTGAAAGGCCACATTTGGACTTAGCTGATTCTCAGCTCTTTCAAAGGAAATATCTAGACAGTAAGTAAACGCATATGGCCACTCTTCCGATCTCTAGTGCACCACTACTTCTCTCCTATTGCTTTAAAGGACTTTAACACACGCGGTTACCAGGCCTACGAACGCTAAACTGTTTGATCAGCGACCGTTCACGTTTGTCAGTTGAGCTGTAGTGCACACTTGTGAACTCAAATTGCGCTTATTGTTCCACCCATTAGAGTTAAAAGTCCTGACAAATCCGGTCTCACCAGATGAGAATTTCATTTAAACAAATAACAGAACTGAGTAGTTTATTTGCCTGGATACATGAGTGCTCGGGTTGAAAACTATTAAGTTTTATGCCTCCCTGGGTACATCTGTGAAAATTATTCGCACGACGTGCTTTTCCAAGCGTCGCAGTATGGCGTTCGTAGCCCTTTTGGCATCAATGCCTCAAGGCAATCGTCGGCGCATTAACTAGAGATGTGGTGGTACAGTCCCACCTGTTATATGGCGACCACTACTCCAAGGCGCCCAGCCAAATACATCCCCAAAGTTTCTCCTATATTTTCTCATTGATCTTAACCTGTGCGTCACGTCCACCTGTTTAATACAGCCGCCATCACGTTTTTGTGGTCCCCAGATGTGATAGAACCTGTAAAAGAGGACCACCAATAACATGACTGGCCAGGATTTCGTCTTCAGGTGCCATGAGAACCTGGCACCGCATCGCACAGATGCCTTAGGTTTCCTCTACTTATCTTGTCTGGGCAACAAGACTAGAAGCAGCCAGTGGAGTGGTACATTACCTATCTGTACGTGTATATCGGTGTCTAATGAGTTTGATTTGTACACACATGTTCACCTTATCGGTAATTCCCGGTGGCTAGCGATGCGAGTTTTCGTCCTGTATAAATGTAGAAATATTCTAGATGTCCTATGGTCAATTCCCGTATTCGCTAAGCACCGAGCGCGGACTAATCCTGGTGCACTTATCACCACAATTATCACCTACCACTGTGATTCGGAACCACGCTGGTATCCGATCTTCATAATCCTTTACACACGAACCGTGTAATCAAAGTTCACATCCTGCCAATTTCATGTCCCCCCACGCGCGTGTAATCCCATGTCAGTCCATCCCTCCTTGTGGTAACTGCTTATACTCCCTTATTCCAACACGTACCCACGTCACTGGCGTTTACATACATCCCCGCACTGATTACGATCTCCTTCGCACTCTCGTTGCACGCGTCCGGTCTTCATCCGGTTTGTAATTAACCAATCGCATGAACTTCACCTGTCCTCTAATATCCCGTGTACCGTACTTTGAATCTCATTGATGTTCTGAAACCTATCCTGCTGGTCTCAGACCAAATTGCATTACGTTTGAAGCTACGCTGAGTGGAAGCGTTGTTATTGAGGTTTTTATTGATATTGCTTCTTAATTGTTCGTAAAAAGTACCGTCATCCTGGTCCGGTGTTCTTGCTCACTTGACTGGCTGGATGCCCGTTGGCTCAAGGCACTTCAAAGCGAATTGTGGCTTTACAATAAAGTTATCCTTCTCGTCACCATCAAGAGCAACAACATCATCTTCAACCGTTTGAACTGATGCTTCAGTGCTATAAAACCGCGGTGACGTACAGGGCGAGTAAGGGGACCTAACGTATAATGCCCTAAGTTGACGTTCGGGGTCAAGAGGTTTACCCCTTTTGTGAACACCATACCATCACAAACAGCTAGTGCGACATCAATGAGAGAGCTCTAACTGCTCAGCGTTGTAATTAGCCATTACCCCGCTTATAAGTTAGCACTGTACACGCTAGAAACAAGCAGTCCGACTGGGAAACGACAGCAGACGAGCCACTGGTGTCCATTGCCAGCCATGTCCCGTAACATCTCGAGACAAGCACAAAACTGCGAGGCATATGGAAATTACGGCATTCCGTGTCCACTTCTATCGGAACAGCTTCTGAATGAAGAGTGTGACAAAAAACAAAATGGTTAATTCCAAAATCACAAAGTTGTATGCATTAACACAGCTGATAATTCACCCTTCAAAGGGAATTATTGACTACTTGAAACACTTGAAGAAATAATATCAGGGATTCAACAAATTCAAGGAGGACAATGTTCGCAGACTTTGGAAAAACTTTTTGAAGTAGGAAAGACAGACACTTCAGACTTTAAAGAGGAAAATTGAATTTTTAATCGAATATTGAAACCGCATCTGGAGTTCAAAAAAGAACAACAGAAAAACGGTAAATGAGGTGATAAACACACGTTGTTGGCTTTTGCGCCAGTCTTTACTCGCAAGGAAAAACCCATTATCTGGACCAATTTCTCATGAACCAGCTTTGCACTTTGCGAAAGAGTTTAATAGCGGAGATTAAATCATCAAAAGGTTGGCTGCAGGCTTTCATTAATGGGCACAACCTTGTGTTTGGTAAGCTACCTGGCGAAAGTAGTGACACATATGTGTGCTGTATCCGACTGGATAGCAAAAGTACCCGTAAGATGTTCTAGTTACGCACCTCAAGACCTTTATACTTGGATGAAACTGGTGTGTTAATCAAAGGTAGGTGAGAAAAACATTTTGTCGAAGGAAAAATAGTGCTGGTGGAAAAAGACGCAAGGAGCGAATCACAGTTATGCTGTGCACTAACATGCTGTGGAACGGGAATCAGCCTTAGTGATTGTGAAATCAGCTAACCTTCGAACTGTTAACGATATCAACGTGGAAATACTGAGTGTAAATTTACATGAATAACAAAAAGACTTGAATAACCGCGGTTGTCTTTGAAAATTGTCTTACATACTGACAAAAATGCAAGAAGAAAAAGCGTAACCTCATTTTGATCCTTGACAATGTCGCTTGCCATCCCAGAATTAAGCTACATTATCACAAACTACAGTTCCTACCACCTAACGGCTCTGCGCTAGTTCAACCCCTCGAGCAGGGTGTCATACAAGCACCTAAATTAAAATTTACGAAAGACAGCTTCTACATGTCAATGCTATCACGGACCATACAAAGATATGTTCGCAACTGGACTCAAGAAACTACTTGGAAGTGAGGTTCTAGGTGGCAGCCGCATGGAAGAAGCTGGAGAACTCAACAATCTCCGAATGTTTTTGTAAAGCAAGGTTTCTTGTTCTGCAAACATCGATACTGAGGCAACCATGTAAACGCAATCTAATGCAGACGAGTAAAATATACCTCAAGTAACCTCTACTAAAATGGATAGGATATAAAAAGAATTGTTTGGATATGGTAGCAACCCAAAAGGTATTTCTTAGCTGCTTGTGTACAACGTTGTTACTCAATCGTACATTATTGGCTTTTTTTAACGCCGACCCTACGGCAATGTTTACCTACCTCCGACTCATCACTTGTGTCCAAGGTGACTTCCGACACTGACGTACGCTCCAGTCGCTTCATCTGCTTTTCGTCCGATTGTAGCCTTCCTCCAATACAATCTGTTGTGTCCGTCCTTCCGGTTTTTGATATCCGCACCAATGCAAGGACACACTCGGACTAGTTAATACGAGTCCTACAAATTTCTACCCCCGATACGCAGGCGCGAAGTT